ATAATAAAATACTTATTTATGTATAATATGCAAAGCCATACATGAAAAGCAGTTATACAACTAAATTTTTTATCTTTCACAAAACATAAAAGTTATTTTAAATAATAAACAAATACGTCTTGTAGAAATTCAACCAGGGTTGTCCTTGGAAGCAAGTATGGTGAAACGTCATTTCAGGGACTTTGGGTATGTTATGAAGGGCTAATCGTTAGAAAAGATATCAGGCTTGGAAAGTTGGAGGGTCAGTATAAGACAGTAAGACCTTCAACAAGAGAAGACTATTAGTGTAGAAAGAGCACGAGGATCCAAGGAGGGGAGAGGGGAGCAGAGGTGTGAGGATGGGTAGAGAGTGGCGGGAGAGGGGAGGCTTACTCATTGGCTCACACAATTTGAGGGGTGGATTGAGAGGTGGACTCATTGTGAAAAACAATGTATATGATGAATTTTGTAAGTAAACCAGTATGAAATAAAATTAAGGGGAAAAAAAAGATGGATTGGCACAGTGTTGGTACAATGGGCTTGGGTATATCAGAGATGATAAGAAGAGCACAGAATAGTGCAGAGTACATACAGAACCATTGTTCATAGGGTCATTAAAAGTTGGAGTTTACTCAGTATCCATTAACAGCTACCACCTTGGGGACCCCTGTGTGGCACAAATAGTTGAGTACAGAATTACTTGAATAAAAGGTCAGAAATTCAAATCTTCCTGGTGGTACTTTGGAAGAAAATTAGTAATCAAATTCTGAAACCAACCAAACAAACAAACACCCAACAAAAACCAGTCACTAAAAAGTCTGGTGGGCTCTGGTGGCCTAGTGGTGAGAAGCTGCACTGCAATCCAAAATACACGTGGTTCCAGTCCACAGGCTTTTCTGCCGAAGGATGGGCCATTGTCTCCCTTACAATTTATTTCTTCTCCAAACCAGCTAGAAGGTCAGTTACGAGCCAGATATGACCTGACAGCACACAAAAACATGACTTTGGTACTCAGTTTTTAATCTGATACACATGGGGTTGTCATGAATGAAAACTGACTCGATATATTAATGATAAAGGTCGGCTTATTGGTACTGACTTGATGGTAATGGTAATAGTATTGGTTAATGGTTGGCTCTAATAGTTGGCGAAGTAAAAAAAAATGTTCAGAAAAGTTCTGTCACTCAGTCTCTACTATACTCATTTCCATAGTTTTGTTTTAGAAAACAGTTGGCAGACTGTCTTTCCCTTATGCACTCACCTTTGAAAGAAATTTTCTCAGTATGAGAAGACAATGTAAATTATGTCCCTAGACTGCCAATCCAAAGGCAGATGGTTTGAATTCACCAGCTGCTCTTTGAGAGAAAGATGATCAATCTACTCCTGTGTGATTTGCTTCCTCTAAAAAACCCAAAGGGTGCTTAGCTATGGGTTGGTTCTGACTTGATGGTGCATAACAAAAATAACATAGCATACCCACTATATGCAGTTTTTAAAGTTAAGAATCTTGATGAAAATAACTGATTCAAGTATTGAACAAAACAGATTATTGAGCACAGAATTTGGGCTGGGGATAGCATAAGGCAGGTGAGGTGACCAGGATACAAAATAAATGGGCCCTGAGATGGCATGCCTCCTTGAATTTCCCACTTAGTGTGCCTCACTCATCCTGCTCTTGGCTTGGTCCTGCACAGAGGACTTGAAGTGTTTGCTGCAGAAAGTCAAGCACTGCAAACTTCAACACAGATTGCAGTTCAACATAAAAAACAAACAAATGAAACAACAACAACAACAACAAATCCCAAAGACTGGTAGCACCATGGTACAAAGAGAAAAGATTAAGATTGTGAACAATTTCAGCTTGCTTAGCTCCACAATCAACAATCTTGGAATCAGCAGTCAGGGAAGCAGAAGATTAATTGTATTAGGTAAATCTGCTGTCAGGGACCTCTCCAGCGGGCTGAAAAGCGACAGTGTCAGTCTAGAGATTAATTTGAACCTGATCTAGGCCATGGTCTTCACAGTTTCTTACTATGCATCGCAGAGCTGGACAATGACTAGAGTTGACAGAAGAAGAATTGCTCCCTTTGAACAACTACTGCCAAGAGAACAAACAGGTTTGTCCTGAAGATGGTGAAACATGGCTGTCCCTTGGAAGTAAGAATTTTGAAGCTCCATCTCATATACTTTGGGCATGTTTTCAGGAGGGACCAGTCTCTGGGAAAGGAGATCATGCCTGGAAGAGTGGAAGGACAGCATAGGAGAAGAAGACCCTGTATGAGATGGATTAATACAATGACTAGGGCAATGGGAGTAGGTGTTTTGGAGAGTAAGACTGGCTCAGGTTGAGAGCTATTGTATGTGGAGTCAATATGACTCACAGGTAACTCAACGACACATAACAATAACAACAACAAAAACAACAACAACAGATGAAAGCTAAGGCTAACAGAGTTAATTTTACGGAAACATTTCTTTCTAGAATGATGCTGGGTACACAATAGGTATTCAATAAATAACTATTGACTGGCTTTGAACTATTTAGGCATCACTGGCCCTATTAAAATTTCCAGTATTGTGATCACACTTCCCTAACTTATTATCTTGTAAAGGTAGGCATAAAAGAAATAGAGATGAATTTAGTGGTTGCAAGTAACTACAAGCAGGAAATACACTTGAATAGATTAATGATCTTTATAAAAGTTGTTACATTCACTTTTCTTGTTACTAAGTTTCCAGAACTTTTGTAGGAAACTTAATATAAGACTTTCATAACACATTTTATAATTTTTTTCTCCCAATATGTGATTTCTCTTTTCACTTCTGTAACACTATCTTCTGAAAAAAAATGGAGATGTTATATAAAGTTTAACATATCACTTATTTGATTTTATGAGCTGTGTTTGCTGAGTCGTATCTATAAAACCTTTTTGTACTTTCTTTATGCTGTTGTAATGTTCTGGTCAGTTGAGTACAACTCATAGCAACCTCATCAATAGTAGATCTGAAACCTGTCCTATCCTGTGCCATCTTCACGTTTCCTGACACACTTAGAGACCACTGCAGCAGTCACCATGTCAGTCCACCTGGTGGAAGGTTTTTCTCTCTGTCGCTAACCCTCCACCCTTTCAAACTTCATGTCCCTCTCTAAGAAAGAGCCCCTCCTAGCAACAAAATATGTGAGGTGAAGTCATATGATCTTTGCTTCCAAAGGGCACTCCAGCTGCATCCTCTCCAAGACAGATCTCTTTTTGTTCTTTTGGCAGTCCATGGGATGATCAGTGCTCTTCTGCAACACCAGAACTCAAATGCAACAATTCTTCTGTCATTTCTATTCATTGTCCAGCTCTCAGATGCATAGCAAGTGATCAAAAAGACCATGGCCTGAATCAGATGTACCTTAATCCTCAAACTGACATCATTCAACTGTTTAGGTTTTTTTAAAAAAATTATTACCTTTCTTTATGAAAGACCATGAGTATTTTTGCTTAGGCTTTCCCTTAAAAGTGTTGGAGTTTTAGTTTTTTACATGTAGGTTTATGGTCCTTTGATTTTTGCATATATTTTATGTGGATTATTAAGATTTATTTTTTGCATATTAGTGTCCAGGAGTTCCAGCATTATTTGTTGAAGTGTCTACTCATTTGCATTTGTAGTTTTTGTTGAAAAGTAATTATCTTTTCATGTATAGGTCAATTTCTTGACTAAATATTCTGTTTCATTGCTCTGTCATTGTTCTTGCCAGTACCATATTCACTGGAGTGTTAATTCTAGGATTTTTCAGCTTCTTTGGCAGTCTCCTCCCATGCAGTTCTGCCTCTGAAAATCCCCTGGAGGGTCAGCGATGGGTGGGTTCCAACTCCATGGTACACAACAACAGCAGCAGTGACATTAAAATCCGTGAAAGTGGGTCCTTCAGCTCTGCTGTTCTTTTTTCAAAATTGTTTTCACTATTCTATTTAATTTGTCTTTCATTATAACCTTGGAATCAGATCACTAATCTCTGTCAAAAGGTTGGATGAAATTAAGATTACAAGAATCATTATTAAACTTGCTTTTATCTTTAAATACTTTATCATAATAAAAAATGTGCTAGCAAATTCAATTTCAATGAGATCAAATTAAAAAACACCTAACACAATGGATTTTAAATATAAACCAAAGATATTAAACTGTCTACCATTGATTCCACAAAGTTTTTGTATGATTCAAGCTGCTTACAAAGTTAAAAGTCAGTCTTGCAATGGGGAGAATTACTGTTCAATATCCATGTGTATTCGTAATGAGTATTGTCATTTTCAGGTCAGGATTTCCTAGCCTGAAAGAAGGATTTCTGTTTCCCGAATTCCAGAGTAGACTAATTTGTACCATGATATTAACAGAGATTAAACATGAGTGGATTATTTGGAAGCTCTCAGCCATGCTTTAGAAATGTCCTTTTGTCCATATTATCAGACACGGCAAGACATATAAAAGTATTTCACCTGGATGAAGATCTGTACCTGGTTGGCTAGTCAGTCCCGAGAGAGATTCCTGTAACTGATAGGTAGAGGTGGAGGATGACGTCCCATCAGCTGTATTATTTGATGTCATATACGCCCCATACGTTGATGCTGAGTAATACTGTGCATACTGGTTTTGGCCAAAGGCTGTGTAGGACGGGTAATCCTGAAACAACAATTAGATATATGTTTTACAAGAAATGATCCACTAAGGTGCATAAAAGGAAGGCAGTCACCACCATTATTGAAACATTGCTATTTGGCTCCATCTGTTTAAGTCTTTAACTATGAAGCGATCTTAAAGGGCAATGCCTACTCTGTTCGTCCCTTCTACATGCATGCACTACTTAAACGGCCTGCTGGCTTTGCAAACCAATGAGAGTACATGAACTTGAATCTGCCTAAAAGTTGCACATGTTTCAGTGTGTCCCCAACAGTTCCTTATCCAAGGATTTGCATCCTCAGGTCCTATGCACCAGAAAGGGAGAGAAGGAGAGAATAGTTCATCTTTTCAAAGTCATTTCTAACATCTGGTAATATCACCATCAAGGATTCCTCCATCTCAGCTTCCACACTGACTTCAGTATTTTTGTTCCTAGTCAAGAATATCTCTGGTAATCCTGTTTTCTTGACAGGATGCAAAAAGGAAATAAAAGATGAGTAAGAGGTGTTTTAAGTAGCCTCTCAGGCTAGAAACCACTTTAGACCTTGATCTAAAGTCTTTGATAAAGTTTTTAAATTCTGATAATTGTCTCATTTAGTTTCCAAAAGAAAACAAAGCATTAAACTCCTACTTACTTTTTATTAATTTTTCTAGAATCATAAGATTATTGGAATGATTCTTCAAAATCCTTTTATAGCATATAAAATGATGACTAAGGATTTGTGGTGACAATTGGTGCTTATTATATTTAGCATGTTTTAACCCAAATAATTTTCATGATGACAAATCCTTGGTCAAGACTAAAGTCCCCTCATATGAAGATGCGCTCAAGGAAACACAGATACAAATGTTATGTTACCTAGCAAATAGGAAAGTATCTCTGAAAGTAAATTTATCATAAGAAGAATTTTAATGGGCATGATAAAAAATAATGAAGAAGAAAATGAAAATTCCATTTTCCCCTCTTAATATTGAAATCTGATGGTACCCCACAACACCTGTTAAGAATATCTCATGTTTTGAACAACAGTTTCTTGCACATCTTAATTAGAATAAGACAGTAATAGCAAAGGTTTATATATGTTTTTTTTCTGCTCTTGAGTGCAGTGGTTAAGCACTTGGCTTCTAACCCAAAGTAGCAGCGGTGTCACTTCAAAGACTAAGGAGCACTTGATTCAAGCCATGATCCTACCAACTACTTGCTATGTATCTGAAAGCAGACAGCAAATAAGGATGACAGGAAAGAGTCAATGTCCCTGAATGGTGGTGTTGGAGAAGAGTAACGATTACCCAAAGAACAAACAAATATGTCTTGGATAAAGTGAAGTCAAAAGGGTCCTTTGAGGCAAGGAAGGCGAAACTCTGTATTACTTTGGGCATATTGTTAGGAGGGGCTAGTCCTTGGAGAAAAGACATCACACTTGGAAAGATGCAAGGTTATCAGAAGAGAGGAAGATCCTCAACAAGATTGGCTGACACAGGGACTCAAACAATGGGCTCAAGTATAATAGAGATTATGAGACGCCACAAAATAAGGCAGGATAGATGTGTTATTTGCATGGTCATGATGAGCTGTACTTGATTCAATGGTACCTAACAATAACTACAAGAACAACAACTAACCAAAAGTTTAGAAGTTTGAAACCACCAGCTACTCTAAGGAAAGACGTAAATATTAGATCCCATAAAGATCTTAGTCTTAGAAATTCAATGGGGCAGTTCTATCCTGTCCTATAGAGACACTATGAGTCTAAACTCATTCAACGACAGCAGTTGAATTGGAAACACTTTAAAGAATTAAATGCAATTGCTCATGGAATGCTTATAATCTTCTCTGTAGGGATATCATTGCTTCCACTTTATATTACAGAAAACTACACAGTGCTTAAGTGACTTGCCTGAGGTCATATAGCTAGTAAATGTCAATGCTGCAATTTGGTCTCCGAGAGTCTGACTCCAGGCTCTCTGTGATGAAGCTATAGATTAGGTTGCTCGAGCCCATAGAAGAGCACTGGCCTTTGAATAGAATGTAAATTTTTTATTCTCCACCACTTGTCCTGTAGGAATTGACTATTTTGTTGAGTGCTGTCACATTGGTTTATACGCATGTGATAAAGTGAAATTGCACCATAGCATTTTAGGTACTATTATTTTTACCAGAGCAGATAGTTGGTTATTTTTCCTACAGAGTCACTCAGTGACTGCTACTATTTTAATAGCATCCTTTTGCCTCCTTCATGCTTTCTAATTCTGTACTTATTTTTGTTCTGATTGGCTTATTGTCTTCACTCTCAATAGGCCATAAGTTCCATGAGGAAACATTTGTGTTTCATTAACCTTTGTTTCCACCATTATTTCCCAATAACATAAGTTCTAATATACAGTAAACTACTTGATAGTAAGTCAATTCTTATTCATGATGGGCTTACATATGTCAGAGTAAAACTGAGCTATTTTTTTTTTTTGCAAGTAGATTGCCAAGCTTTTCTTCTAAGACAACTCTGATCTCTAAGGGATCTCAAATTTTCAAGTTTTTGGTTAACAACAAGATATACTGACAGCTTGCACCACCCAGGGACTGCTAACATGTATGTCCCAAACCAAATCCACTGCCACTGAATCAATTCTGGATCATGTGCCAGAGACCCTGGGGTCTCCCTGGTTGCAAATGCTGATGAAAGGGGACTTCCTGTCTTTCTTCCATTGAACAAGCTGATGCGTCAAACTTGCAACATTTTGGTTATTGTACAACATGTAATAGGTATTTAGTAAGCCCTGGCTAAAATAATAAATTGTTATAAATATTATGGTCCAAAATAGAATATGTTTTATTCCAAAACACTTGGATATTTAAATATCCAAATGGCACTGAATCCTTGTTATAAGAGAAATCTATTTTTCTCTTCCATCAAACTTATTTTAACCTTGGAGGCAGTGCTGAGGTGTTTTCACTAATTCTCTGCTTAGTTCATATTCCTATTATTATACTAATTATAACCATCTTTGGTCAGTATTATTGCACTGTTTGTTTCTTTAGGATATCTATTCTTCTATCTAGTAGGAAACGGAGGCTTAATATTTTTATTATGATTATTATGACTTATGAGGTTTGAATCTTCCATTCTTACCTAAACAGGTAATATACACAGTGTTCCACAAAAGCCTGTGGTCGATAAATTAGTGAAACAAAGCCACTTTGAATAAACACATGGCCAATTACTCTTCCACAATAAAGAAGTGCAGGAAGAGGAAGAAGACGAAGACAGGGAGCAGGAGAAGTAGGAAATTTACTCAATTCATTGCCATGGAGTTGGAACTGCTCAGAGCTGACCCTCAAGTGGCTTTTCAGAGACTGTAAATGGCACAGGGGGAGCCTGGCCATCTTTTCCCTACAGATCAACAGGTGAAGCCAAACTGTCTACCTTTGAGTTGGCAGCACAACTCCCTACAAACTAGGCTACCAGGGAAGTAAGAACAAGAGAAGGAGAAGGAGAAGGCAGCAGTGACGAAGGAGAGAAAGGAGATGTAGCAGAGGAAGAAGAAAATTGGGAGGACTAACAACTTCTATAAACAGACAGTCAAAGTAATAAAAGCCAAAAATTACTGTTGCCAGAAACATAGGCCTAAATTATTAAAAGGAATTGAAACAAATAAAACCACAGAACAACTCAGCATACCTTTCACGAGTATATTGTTTATAAAGAATGATCCTTCTTAGGACTGAAACTGTCATACAGCATCCAGCACAATGCAACTATTAATTTTAATCTTATACAACTGTTCAGGTCTTTCGTTCATAGGGTCGCTATGAGTCATCTGTGACTCAGTGACATCTAACAACAACAACTAATGCCACTTTATTAACTTTCATTAAGAAAATTATAATTTTGTTTATTTATGATAGTAGGAAAGTATGTAATATAGTCTATAATTCCAAAGTGAATAAAACAAATTTTAAATGCTTAAAGGGCCAAGTTTTAGTAACTGGGGAAAAAATGAAAATATCCAAATTAACACACATTTCAAGATTTCTGGGTAGCCATTTTTTTATTACTATCATGAAATATGATCTATATTTGATTTATTTAAAATCTTGTTTTGGAATAACATGCATGCAATATCTCAACTTGAAACTACTTTTCAAAAATCTAGGAAGATAAAAAAGCGGAATTAAGGGGAGCTCTGGTGGCCTAGTGGCAAGAAGCTGCAACTATAATCCCAGAGGTGCACGGTTCGAATCCACCAGATGCTCTGCCGGGGAAGGAGGGGCAATCTCCTCCTGTACCAGTCAGATCTGATTTGACGGCACACGCACACAAAAATAATAAAATAAAAAAAATTATTTTTTAAAAAAAAGCAGAATTAAGAAAGCTACATCCTTACCTGCTGTGAACCACTGAAATTTGTTGAATTGGAAACGGAATTATTAGCATAAATAGTAGAGGATGGAGCAAAGCCAGAACCTAGAGACAAAGAAGAAATTGCATATGAAAGTGTTCCTTATTCAACAAAGATAAACATTCACATGACATAATTCAATGAAGTGAAATAGTTTGAATTTTGTTGCTTTCAATAAATAGCAAAAACTGAACTGGTGTTATAAACAAAGTGTCCTATGCTGCATCTCTTTTATAACACCAGGTAAGGCCTTTCCTATCAGATTCTGGCTAAACAAGAGCCCACTGAACAGTCTTAACAAGTACTGCAATATTTACTCATTTTTAATGATGTAAAACACAAGTGAATGTCACAAGTTAGGGGTTAAAAATAAAATGTATTTATGCCCCATATTTTCCCAGGTTAAAATGAAACGCTATTGAAGCTGGTTACTTTTTTTATCAATGTGTGGCAAATAGCAGTAATATTATGTGACTCTACAAACTGGTCTGGCCTGGAATATATAGTGCGAAAGCATTTTGAATGAAATTTCATAAATAAAAATTTTTCTAGGTGCCCCTTCCCACTGCTAACTGAGGCTGTGTATTTACTGTGACTGTAGCTTGTATATGAATATGCCTCTCTACATTCTAGATAAACAAAAACATGCCTTATTTAGCCAAAAAAAATCTGAGAATTTATTTCATTTTATTCAACTGATTAAGATGTCAAAACATTAGTAAACCTATAAATAAAATATAGCTATCAACCTAGACAAGAGGGGCACTCTCAATTTTTAATGCTTCAACTATGAACCTAAAATTATTTCTGCAACTGCTACATATCAAGCTCATATATTTTCATAAGAGTAAAAAATAAGAAGGAAAATCAATGAGCATGTGCTGTGATTTTTTTTGGGAAGGAAATATAAATTACAGAAATGTTATTAGTACTTTAGTATTAAAAGGGAATGATTAAGAATGAACAACCAAAAAAATCCTCACTCAAAGATAAGTAAGATTTATAAAAGTGCAAATTAAATTTTGAACACAACTCAAATGGAGTTAAGCACTTAAGGCAGACTGTAAAGAAAATATTGCTTTGCATTATGAATCTTTTTAGTAACTTAAAGTAGACACCAAGCATGCTGAGTGATGTTACAGCTTAACAAACCCTGGCTTGCTTTGTTTGACTTAGCTTCCTGCTGATGCCAAAAAGTTTAAATTTCAGTATTGGAATTTGGTATGGATCATGTTTCCTGGTGAATATTCAACTGTTTTCATTATGCTTCTGCCTCATTGTTGGGTTTTGGTGTTGTTGTTTTTTGTTTTTGTTTTTTTTTTTTTAATGGAACTGTGTGAACAGTACTAAAACAGTACTAACTGTCTGTCTGTCTGATATATCTGACGTATACCCCTATGCTGAAGCCAGGAATTTCCAAGTTAGTCCCCAGCTAACAGGTTTCATGTGTGACTACTTACCTGGCATCTGGTAAGAGTAAGGTGTCTGGCCTGGCTGTGGGGTGGAAAAGCCCGGGCTGTAACTGAGGCACCCGCTCTGCAAGGGGGACTGGGTTTGGGAGAGTCCACTCTCTGTCTTGATGCCTGGCAACATCACACCCAAATCTGTTGGGAAAATGCCACGCGCAAATCATTTCATCAGTAAAATGATGAGACTTCTAAAGCTGTAATTTACACCATGACACGCAACATCTAGCCAGCAGGATTACCTGCTTACCAACCAAAGGAAGAAGGAGGAGGACATAAAATACCGTAAGTCGGCAGGCTGTAGGGCTGTCCTGTCTGTGAGTAGGCCGTGTAGACGGCGGGCTGCTGCATTCCCGAATACTGAGTCTGGCCTGCGTAGGCGGACATTGTTTGAGCTGCTGGTGTAGAAAGAATGTGTGGATAGGGCCTAAATATCAGAAAAATAGCATTACTGTGGCAACAAAGACTGCACATTAATTCAGACAGCTTAGATTCAGTGAGACCTTATAATATCCAGGGAGTAATCCTCCTATTTATACATAATTTTAACAACGTAGGGAAGAAAAGAAAGTTTAAATGTCAGAAGCCTGGGCTCTGCTATAAGTCAATTCAGTGATGTTGGACCAATGATTTAACTCCTCTGTGTCTACAGTGTGCCTGTTAACAGAGAAAGTTGATGACACATCATTTTTGAAAGCACTTCCAGGTCTAAACAACCTGAAATTCTATTCTGATAGTTATGTACAAGAGAAAAAATGAAGGCCAGGTCAGTTCATTAACAAGCTTCTGAGCACATGTCTACTGACTTTGAAGGGAACTAATACTAACTCTGAAAGACTAACTGAAAAACCTGGATTATATAGTGTCTAAATATTCTAACACTTGTGGAAAAAATAGTAAAAATGTATAGCTCACACTGAATTATTAAGAGATAAAAAAAGAAAATACATTTAAATGGATAATTTCTTGAAGCAGTACCATTTCATTTCAGGGGCTGCATGGTGAGCCTGTGAAAATGTGTGGAGGTTTATTGAATGTTATATTAAGGGATAAGAAGTGGAAATCTTTGAGAAAATAAAAAAAGAAGTAGTAAGAGTCCTAAAAAGAAAATGAAATGAAGTTCCTACCCTTCATTATATTATATTTACGTAATATCCTCAACTAATACCCCCAGACTGTACATAAGGACAGCCACCCTAGCTGCTGCAGAAAATAACAATTCATATATAAATGCATATGTACCACAAAGCTAAAACTTCAGAATATCTAGATAACTGCAAATACATCTGAACAAACACCAAAATCTATATTATCTTTAAACTTGAACTCTCTTGTCAGTCAGTTGCCTAAATTAGATCCAAAACAAAGTGCCTACTCCAAACACATGCTTATGATAATATGAGATCCAATAAAAATATCTGTCATACCAACTGCTGAGATACAGATAAAATTTACTCTGTAAATTTTCTTAAAACAAACTGGCACTATTGAATTTGCATTAAAAACGAATATATTCTAATTTGAGCTTGATGCTTCTTTAAGAAATACAAGTAACCAGAATGAAGGGAAATAATCGGAAGAAAGAAAAAAAATCAGTGTATCTCTATTTCTAGATTTGTTTAGAATTTTTACATGCCCAATCTATGCCCATATCTCTCTGCTCAACGATCTATCTGTATGTGCATAAAAGGGTGTCAGTTTAAAGTTAGCGCATTGTGTGCATACATGTAAAGACAAGTGCCCTAGTTTCCTAACAAATCTGACAGGTTCTACTGAGCACTTACTTGGAAGGGTATAGCTGCGGGGTGTACTGGTGTGCTGATCTGGGACTGTAGCCACTGCTTGTTATTACTGTAAGACACAAGGACCAGTACACAAAGGCTGCTTCAGACATGCATTTTACTAGAGTGTGAAAAACCAATTTGAAGAAATTATCATGTTAAACTTACATTTCTAAAACTTTGCTTCTAAAAAGAAAATTAATTCATCTTCTAAGTTCAGTTTTTAAAATGAAACTTCTGCAACACACATTCTCCAAATTAAATGGCTTCACGTTTGTTCTAAGGGCATGAAATACAAATTTTCCTAAGAGTCCTTCCTTTCTATTGTCTATTTTCTCATGTCAGTGGTATGATATTATATGTTATGAATGATAACCTTTGGTTTTAAAGCAAGGAGCCTTTTTGACATGAAAGTGACATTTTATATTTGGCAAGCTTTCAAATATCAAACATCATAGCAATAGGTTGCTCTTCCTCCATATGTATTCTACATTAAACATAATAAAACTTTGCAAATAATTGAAAGTTTTACAGCTTCCTGTAAGAATCTATTGTTTTGTGTTTCCTTTCCTTTTACTAATCACATGTGTAGTCAATAAGGCAGAGTCTAAAATAGTTTAATCATAATTGGAATACACATAGACTACCAGGGCAATAATACCAAAACTTTATTTATTGCATACTCACAATTTACCTAATGGAGTGGCAGTCCTGGTCAGAAATATATTTTAAGCTACTAGATACACAGGACTTTTCAAGGGAGAACTTAAAGGTGAGAGTCAAATCCCATTAACATTTCATCCAAATATGCAGCCCTAACCTGGAATTTTGCCAAAAGTTCGGACATTTCTCCTTCCTTTAACTATCTGCCGTGACTAAGACAGATGGATGGCAAATATATGGACTCAAAAGTGTTGGGCTATTCCTTTCAGAGCCAATCCACACTGGGCACACACACAGAGTGTCTTTATTAGACCATCTGCTGTTCATTCACTTTTCAAAAAGATTAAAGTAGTACACAATGCAGTCCTGGAATTAGTTTAGTCTAATCAATCATAGTTGTACTTCAAAGTCCTATGTCCTTTCTAAGCCGTTCATAATAATTCTGGAGCTAAACTTTTAGAATTGTAAAAGTGACAAATCAGTTTAGGTTGCTAACTATTTTATGAAACATGATCTATATCTCTATCCAAATGCTATTAAGTACTCCTGTGATCTACTACTTCATAAACATGCAGTATTTAATAGGTTTAAAATGTTATTTTGCCTATGAGCTAAGGAGATGGATAAGATAATTTAAATTTTTCAGAAATACGTGGAAGAGGATCGTTTAAAGAACACCGTGGGTCAATTTTGAAAATTTCCAACATTTCTGGAACATTTTTTTGCAAGCTCTCAACATTTTCAGAAATCAAAATTTCAGTAAACCTGTGATATATAATTAATATGAAACTGTCCATTAAATCATTAACTTTTTACCTATTTATTAAAGCTTAGTTGATAATTACAGTTTTCAAGTCAACTCCATAGGAATAATCTCTTTCTCCTGTAAGATGATTGAAGGTGTACATGTTATAATGGCACCATCATTATTTCACAGGAAATTCAGTTTGATTCCCAAAGTCATAGTAGTGAATACTCCATTTAACACAAATATAGTAAATGAGGCTTTACTTCTGTGTCTTTTGAGCCTATTTTGAGAATTTCACCTTGGCACACTCAATACTTGGGGTATATTATTAGCTGAAAAACACAGGTTTTTCCAAAGCAAACATTAGTAAAATTAATCATTTTCTATAACAGATTTTATTTAATGAACCAAATAGCTAAACTTTGTATTTTACAAAAACCTCTATACATCTGCACACAGTTCTGAATATATGTACTATGCTTTGTCCCTTGATTGAAAAATCTAGATATATTGAATAATGTGCCCATAAAAATATAAAAATTCAATAAATCTTTAAAATCTTATATTTAATGTCTTTTTGTTAATTAAACAGAAGGTAAAAACCTTGGTACAGAAAACTGTGGTATGTTTATATATAGAGATATATATGTTTGTTTATGTATAACATATATATTATACATGTAAATATATATTATACATATATATTCATATATATATTTATATAAACATATAAAAGCAAGAGTGGCATCCACTTCCTAAACCACATGCCTTCTGGAAACTCTATGAACTTGGAGAAACACTGATAGTTATGAAAAGGCGTCTTTTGTTCACAGAGTAGCTATGTGTCGTGCTCGATTCCACAGCAATTAACAACAACATATATATGGGGCTCTGGTGGCTTAGCAGTAAGACACTGTGCTGTTAATCTAAAATCAAGTGGTTCAAACTCCCAGCTGATTTTGTGGGAGAAAAATGGGCAAATGGGCAATCACCTCCCATGTGATTTACAGCTTCCGAAAACCTTTTGGAAGGTCAGTTATCTCAATGGCACATAATAACAACAACAAATATTTACACACACACACACACACACACACACACACACACACACACACACACACACACACACCCCTACAGTTAAATGAAAAACAAACAAACAGAAAGCACTGACAAAGTGAGTTGTGACTATGCTCATCAGAGGGAAAACTGCTTCTGCACAGAATATGATTTCTGGAAAGCCACAAACAAATTTGGGAGACTGGCCAGAATTGGGGACCTGTCATTGAGTTAATCACAGATATCACCTAAAACACTTAAGTAATTATACTCTACTAACTCTATAAAGTGAATAAACGCTTGTCTTCAAAAGTCCCTGAAAACTGATTTAAAGTATACTATTAGTTTCTCACAAGATAATGTCGAACAGTTTTAAGGTTTTCACTTCTAGTCTTTTGACACCCTGGAAGAGAGACTTTCTAGGGCCTGTTTAGCGATCGACCTTAGAGGATCACTATGACTCAAACGCAACTTGACTGCAGAGCATTTGGCAACATTTTTATTGTCACAACTTGTGAGGGGGGTTTGCTACTAGCATCTGGCCTGACAAACGTTAAACATCCTTCAATGCAGAGGAGATCACTACCACAACAAAGAAATAACCCCAAATTTTAATAGTGTTATTGATTAAAATCCTTGTGCAGATTATTGCTAGTAGAACATGGTGGTAGAAATAGTCTGTGTCTAAATTGTATGCTATGGTAGCCACTAACTGCATATAGGACTTGCTGGTCCCTGGCTGGCCGCTGTTGTGTACCACTGAGTTGGAATCGACCCCCAGTGGGTTTTCAGAGGCTGTTTAATCACAGGGGAGAGACTGACAAGCCTTCTCCCATGGAGCAGCTGATGGAATAGAACCTTCTAAATTATAGTCTAATTTTTTACCACTAGGCCACCAGAGCCTATTAAAAGCTAAATGACTGAAAGGTTGGTGGTTCTCATCTATCCAGATGTGACGTAGAAGACAGGCATGGTGATATTCTTCCCCAAAGATAATCACCTTGAAGAGCCCTTGGAGAAATTCTTCACTGCTCCCTGAGGTTTCAGGAATTGGAGTTTAGTCAATGTCAATTAACAACAATAAGTCTTATAAAGCTATTCAGTGCAACAAAAGCCATTGTTGAGTTAGAACTGTCTCATAGCTGACCTGACCCTCCAGCCTGTTTTCAGATGCTGTAAATCACGTGAGAGGAAATTATCCATCTTTGTCCCATGAAGCAGCTGGTGGATTTGAACTACTTGCCTTTGGGCTGGCAGAACCCAGAGTGGACCACTATGTAGGTTATAGTGGTACTATTCTTAGGCATTTGCACTGCTAACCCAAAAGCCATGTCCCTTTGGTGGTTTGAATTCACCAGCTGATTTTCAGGAGAAGAACAGGCAAGTTCCTCCTATGTGGTGTTTTACAGCCTTGGACACTCAGTGGAGGGCTCGACACAATGAGTGAGTGAGTGTGACTTGAATTATGTTTTGAATTTTAACCAATTAATTTAAATATGCATTTAAATGGTCATACAGGGTGGCTTCCCTAATGGAGAGCCCAGACCTAGATTGTTCTTAGAAAATAATAAGAACACATTTAATAATAGATTATTTTTCAAGCCCATTTTATTATTCAGTTTTCCATGTCTGTTTTATCCAATGGAACATTATACCTTCTCCTCTTCCTTTGCTTTTCAGAAAGGACTAATTATCAAAACTCTGTTCTTGTTTTCAGCAATAGTCTGAACCCTGTAACTTTACCCATCTTGAATTCTATACGCCTCAATGTCATTGCTTAAAAAGTAGAGCAGGGTATCTCTAAAATTATTTCTGGACTTAAGATTCTATGATTTTTGTCATTCAGTTTTCTATTCATCTGTGATATATATATTTTAAGTATATCAGCTATCAATAATTTTGTTTTTGTTACATAAAGAACATGTTTAGACAGTTTAAAGAACTGTGGTAAGTAAAAGATAAAGAACTCTAGAATAAGTCACTACCTATTTATCTCTTATGAAGTAATGAAGTGTTAGAAAGCACAGGAATTAGTATGAGGTTCAATGTAAAGTTTGACTTTTGCTACTTTTTTTTTGGTTTGCATACTAATATGAACACATGCCGCCTGCTTCCAATTGATGTGAACTGATAATATTTGATCATTTGTAGTTATGAAAATCAAATATATGCAATAATGACATTCTGCTTAAAGATACTTCTCAATTCTTTTGTACATAAAGTATATCCACACATAATTCATGTATATGTGAACTTTGATAAGTATTAAATATATTAAAGCAGACTAGCAGAATTCAAGATTAACCACCACAAACCGTTTTCTAGGTTGACTGTCCATCTTTCTGACCTATAAACTCCCCTTTGGGATAAGGAAAAAATTCTTTTAACCAGAAAATAAACCAAAGCTTTGCAACTTAAACCAAATTTTTAATTAAGTCAACTTCATTTGTGCTTTTAATAGCCAGCTGGGACTTATCAGGTATTTTTGTTTTAAAAGGACCGATGTTTAAAGACACACTATTGTTCTCTTTGAAGCACAATTAGTGAAAGGAGGGCTCTCTCAGGCTGAGTTCTAATGCAACCAGCATGTGCTCTCCTGCAGAACATTAACCTTTAATACTTGTCACTCAGCTGCTTGCATGGGAAGATTTTTTTAAAAAAACCTAGAGAGGAAACAAGGTTATTTAGAAGGAATCAAATGGATAGGTTTACGTCTCAAATTGTGGACAGAAGGCTGTTTTTAGTGTAATCTAACTGGGCAAGTGGAAGGAACAAAGTCGACTATTATAACCTAATTGCTAGATTAATTAAATACTGCATACCAAATAATAGGCTAGAAGTCAGCTCTACTTATCTCTAATAAGAAAACCATGCAATTGCTTTGCTGTTAATGAAAAATCCAGCAAAACAACTTCCAAGTATTACTTCTGAAACAACATAATTCTGTGACTAATAGTTTCTAAAAGGGTGAAATTACGGCCAAGTGTATAAAAATGAAATTTATAGCAGCTCTGATATTTATGCAGATTAATTCACAGGCAAGATTCTAAGGACCCCAATGTGTACGTAACAACACACGAGCTTAAGGCTTTACCTGACCCAGTAAAAGTGTCAAGCGCTCCATCTCCAGTTGTGGTTGTGGTTTCACTGCTGTTCAAGGGCTCTGTTTTGACTGCAAGAAGAGACACTACATAGAAGAATAAGGACATGTGAGTTTTTCTTCTAAATTTATATCAAAGACCCTGGTTGCTTGTCTAGTGATTCTTCTAGCTACCATGGGCATGCAAGAGAAAACTTGAGGAGTTGATGAAAGTTTTGTTAATTTAGCTTCTAAATGGACATGCATTTGTAGAGGATTTACTCGAATATCCCCTGGCTAACCTAGGTTTTTAGAAGCTGTCTTTTGAAGGCAGTTCAAATCTTCTAAGGTGAAAGACTGATACACACATTTGCATTTGTAACGCGCCTTCTTTATCATACTGCTGCTACGGCCAGATGAAAGAGAAAACAAGACTCATCAGTCAGTCTTCCCCACACTGAATCCAAATCACAACAAAAAATATCAACTGATTTATACTTCACTGTGTCTGAGAAGACATAAAAGTAATCACTACTTGAAAGTATGATGGAGGTATAGGCAAATACAGAAACCATCAGCCTAGTCATGTGATGGATAGAAAATGAGGCACTCAACGCATTTTCAAAAGAGCCATGCATGGTGAGGGGTTGTGGGTTTTTGTGGTTCTGTTTCTCCCACCCTGGCATAACACTTTTGATGCAGTACAGTAATAAGAATAGAGTAAGAGGTAATTGCTACAGAGATGAGGCATCTTTTTGAAACCTTTCTACGTTATTCTACTTTGAGGTCATGTATGTTGGCAAACTCTTCACCTGGCAATGATGGAGGCTGACACATGTCGCTGGCATGAAAGAAGCAACGGGTGAGGGGATGTGGAGCAGCCTTTACCAGGTTTGTCACACCATATTTTCCCTTCCTGGGCAAACTTTGCTACAGGTACCACAGCAACACGGCAGTGAGTTATTTTACTGTTCAACACCTCTTAAGATTCCTTGTAATCAATGGAGTGAAGCAATGTCATCACTTAGAAGCAAGCAGAAAACAAGATGAAAGCTGCAGCCTAGCCAGTCTTCAACACATGGCAAATGGGAGAGTGGGGTCAGAATGTATCCCCCAAGCAAGCAAGTGAGCACTACCCACTATGTTAGAAAAGTGGTTAACTTCTGGGGACACGTGCAGTGATGCTTATGCTCTCCTTTCCCATGCCCACAGTTGACCAGGCCCTCAGTTAGCTCTGAGCTCATTCAACCCCTGCCAGTAAGTAACTATGGGGAGGTTTGCTGATCCAGAGAACAAAGTTAAAGGTTGTAAAGCAGAGAAGCATCATTTGATTATCCTAACAAGAGGGAAATTTAAGGTTGATCTCCTTTTGAAGGACAAAATAATGTGCAAAATACTTATGAAAACCAAATTATCTTCCACTGAGTCAACTCCAACTCATGGTGATTCTATAGGGCAGAGGAGAAGCCCAGGCTCTCAAGGCTGCACATTTTTATGGACTCGTTCAATTACATCATCCTCCCGAGGTGGCTAGTAGATTTGAACTGCCTGGTGAGTCTAAAGAACTGGCCATGTAGGTTGGCAGGTGAGTCCTTTGGCCATTCTGCCACCAGGGATCCTTGATAGGTTGTTGTTGTGTGTTTTCAAGTCAAAACTGACTTATAGTCAAAACTGACCCTATAGCAAGTTTGCAGAGGCAGTAAATCTCACAGAAGAAATTGCCCATCCTTCTTCCAAAGAGTGGCTCTTGGATTTGAACCACATGGCTTTGGGATGCAGTGCAAGTTGATAGTGTTCTCTGACTCGTAGGGATCCTAAGTACAACAGATCGAAACTCTGCCTGATTTTGTGCCATCCCAGCAATCTCTGCTATGCTTTCAAGCCCACTGGTATCAATCCAGCTCTTTGAGACTCTTCCTCTACTGTGCAAAACATCCTGTCTTTTTCAGGTAATGGGCCCTCCTCATAACAAACACTGCATAATAATTACATTCTTTCAAAAAAAAAGATTTTTCACGGAAACTCTATACATACTTGCAATGTGCTATATTTTCTTTTGTATTGCTTTTTCTATCTGTGACAGAATATTGTTTTGGTTCATTAAATATGTGCAAGGCAGTACTGGAAAGATATGTAGTCAAAAAAGTTCTGCTTTTTAAACCTGTAATTGCAAATAATTGCCACTGTATATTCACTATGATTTTCAAATATATGTTTTCCTAAATTTGCATAGAGGTTAAAACAAAACTTTTAATTTAATGTCAGAATAGTGTCCAAAATTATTACATGCTATGAGATGGAGACAATAATTTGGAGAAAAGCATCATACTTCAACAAAACACACGTTTACAAGCCAAATGTAGTGATTTCAAAAGCAAACATCATATTTTAATGTCATAGGTTGAGGAATTGTGTGGTTTTGTTCTTCTACACGCTCAAAAGATCCAGGGTTCATGTCTCTACAAGTGGGATAAGATAACTATACACAGGATTTTATACAGTATCATCATTTCAAAAAATACTTTCAGCCCCTTCCACACTAGTTAGCTATCTACTCACAATCTGATTCATTTTCATAAGAATCAGACACTAAAAAAACAATTAAAAAATTGTGATAGTAATTTTAAAATATTGACATATGGTTTCTCTATTTCTTAGCTTTAAGAAGGACTTTAATCTATGATTTAGATCAAAGTTGAAATTTTGATTATCATCTGAAGTAAGATGATGCTTTGGATCATGGTATGACATCTCTGAGCCCACCATTTATTCCTGGTATTGCTGTTGTTAAGCAAACTTCATTCTATTTTGATTCATTTTGACCCTTTAGGTGACAATTTTCCATACCATGGGAGATTTTTTAGATTAAGGAGTTGCGATGTTAAAGAGGTTTAGTTTTCAACTGGAAGTTTAACTTCTTTAACTTTAACTTCTCCATGGAAAAAGTGTGGCAGCTGCTTCTGTATATATCACAGCCTTGGGAATCCTCTGTAATAGTTTTATTCTGTCTGTTCTATTGTTTTAACTCAAATTAATATTCTACCAGCTAAATTATATTATTAGAACTAAGGTTTATTGGTTGTAATATCATGCTCAGTCCTTCAGACAGTGATGCAAATAATTTGCATGTTACACTTCTGTCTCCAGAATTTTATGTTGGAACTGGTATCCTATTTTAAAACTATGTATGCTATTTCCAAAACCCTTTTCAAACTACAAAATTCACACACAGAGACTCCTGACAACTTTAGTTCTACAAAGAACTGCAGAAGAATGAAATAAGGAATATTACCATTTATAGCACTGTAGGTACTGTCTATCAGTCTTAATAACTGGTATGTTATTGTTGTGTGTTGTTGAGTCAAAACTAAATCAAAGCTCACCCTCCAGTGGGTTGTATTTACAGGCAGTAAATCACGTGGTAGGAGACTTCCCATCCTTCTCCAGTGAACAGCTGGTGGATTCAAACTGTGCACCTTTGGGATTACAGCACTGCTTCTTACTACTAGGTTACCAGTGCCGGAGATTTATGTTTGTGTGAATAAATGTGTTCATTAAAAAGTTACCAACCACTAAGTGCCATTTGGAAATATCTATTACATATTTAGTTTTTTATAAAAAAGTATTTAATGGAAAATTTATGGCATTCATCATAAGTTGTTGTTGTTGTTGTTAAGTGCCATCGAGTCACAGGCGACTCATAGCGACCCTATGAAAAAGAGTCCTCGATGCTTGGGTGCCTTTCTTCCTCTCTCCAGGTTCAGAGGGTTTCCAGAGGCAAGCTATTACGGAAGTGGATGCCACTACTCCTTCCAATTCATCATAAGTAGACAATTTTAAAAAAATATTGAAACTAGTCTGAGATCTTAGCAGATGGTTCTGCTGTACAAAAATAGAGCATTCAGAACCAGACCTATCATATGGGAATCAGCTGTTTATACATTGAAACTCCTAGAAAATTATTATCTATGACACACAGTTCTAAAGAATTGATAACACCATAAACCTAATTAGAATTTCTTGTATTCATAATCTTTGATCTTTTCTTTTCTTCTTAATCATGTAGAATCAAACACTCCCTCCACCATGTACTCAACTTGAACACCTTATGACACTAATTATTTTTACGTCTATTTCCCTCTGGTAAACCTTTGATTCTTAGCTGACAAGTAGTATCAAATTCTATAGATCTCTTGATTCCCATTTTCCAGCACAGAGAGCTCATATATAAGAAGCATTTGATATATTTTTATTACGTAAGTGAACATTCAATCTTTTAGATAATCGTAAACAACCCCATTAAATCTAAATATTTTTCATACAGTTAACTATGAGACCTGCTACCATTAAGCACATCAAAATGTTATCTATGTTTATAAGTATATTTTTGTATGATTGACATGTATTTTATATGTATAACACTATTAATATTTCATAGTTCACTTATTAAGCAGGGGAATTATAGAGTAAAACTCAAAATATAATTAAAATATGTTGTTATTATGTGTTGTCAAATCACTTGCAACTCATAGCGACCCTGTGTACAACAGCCTTAAACCCTTCTCTATCCTGTGTCAACCTTATTTCCGACACACCTACCCCCATTGCCCCAGTGACTGAATTAATCCATTTAATTGAGGGTCTTCCTCTCCTGCGCTATCCCTCCTCCCTCTCAACCATAATGTCCCTCTCCAAGGACAGGTATCTCCTTGTACCATGTCCAAAGTATGTTAGACAACGATGAAGCTTCAGAATCCTTGCCTCCAAGGAGAAGCTTGATTTCACCTTCTCTAGGTCAAGCTTGTTTGTTCTCCTAGCAGTCTATCGTATATCCAACTCTCTTTTCCAGCACCACAGCTGAAATGGCAACAATTCTCTTTCTATGAAACCTAGTCAGTGTCCAGTTCTCTGATGCACAGCAAGTAATTGTGAGGACTAAGGCCTGTATCAGGTGCACCTTAATCTCTAGACTGACATAGTTGCTCTTCAGTTCTCTGGAGAAGTCCCTGATAGCCAACTTTCCCAGTGCAACTTGTCTCTTGATTTCCTGGCTGCTGGTACCAAGAGTGTTGACTGTGGCATTCTCCAAAT